CCACTAGCCCCAGTGGCGTAGCATTAGTGTTAAATTAAAATTGCTACATTATTCCAGTGCATCTACGTACAGAGCACCACTAGCCCCCGTGGCGTAGCATTAGTGTTAAATTAAAATTGCTACATTATTCCAGTGCATCTACGTACAGAGCACCACTAGCCCCCGTGGCGTAGAGTTAGAGTTAAACTAAAATTGCTATATAATTCCAGTGCATCTACGTACAGAGCACCACTAGCCCCCGTGGCGTAGAGTTAGTGTTAAATTAAAATTGCTACATTATTTCAGTGCATCTACGTACAGAGCACCACTAGCCCCCGTGGCGTAGAGTTAGTGTTAAATTAAAATTGCTACATTATTTCAGTGCATCTACGTACAGAGCACCACTAGCCCCCGTGGCGTAGCATTAGTGTTAAATTAAAATTGCTACATTATTCCAGTGCATCTACGTACAGAGCACCACTAGCCCCCGTGGCGTAGCATTAGTGTTAAATTAAAATTGGTACATTATTCCAGTGCATCTACGTACAGAGCACCACTAGCCCCCGTGGCGTAGAGTTAGTGTTAAATTAAAATTGCTACATTATTTCAGTGCATCTACGTACAGAGCACCACTAGCCCCCGTGGCGTAGAGTTAGTGTTAAATTAAAATTGCTACATTATTTCAGTGCATCTACGTACAGAGCACCACTAGCCCCCGTGGCGTAGCATTAGTGTTAAATTAAAATTGGTACATTATTCCAGTGCATCTACGTACAGAGCACCACTAGCCCCCGTGGCGTAGAGTTAGTGTTAAATTAAAATTGCTACATTATTTCAGTGCATCTACGTACAGAGCACCACTAGCCCCCGTGGCGTAGAGTTAGTGTTAAATTAAAATTGCTACATTATTTCAGTGCATCTACGTACAGAGCACCACTAGCCCCCGTGGCGTAGAGTTAGTGTTAAATTAAAATTGCTACATTATTTCAGTGCATCTACGTACAGAGCACCACTAGCCCCCGTGGCGTAGCATTAGTGTTAAATTAAAATTGCTACATTATTCCAGTGCATCTACGTACAGAGCACCACTAGCCCCCGTGGCGTAGCATTAGTGTTAAATTAAAATTGGTACATTATTCCAGTGCATCTACGTACAGAGCACCACTAGCCCCCGTGGCGTAGAGTTAGTGTTAAATTAAAATTGCTTCATTATTTCAGTGCATCTACGTACAGAGCACCACTAGACCCCGTGGCGTAGAGTTAGTGTTAAACTAAAATTGCTATATAATTCCAGTGCATCTACGTACAGAGCACCACTAGCCCCCGTGGCGTAGAGTTAGTGTTAAATTAAAATTGCTACATTATTTCAGTGCATCTACGTACAGAGCACCACTAGCCCCCGTGGCGTAGAGTTAGTGTTAAATTAAAATTGCTACATTATTTCAATGCATCTACGTACAGAGCACCACTAGCCCCCGTGGCGTAGCATTAGTGTTAAATTAAAATTGCTACATTATTCCAGTGCATCTACGTACAGAGCACCACTAGCCCCCGTGGCGTAGCATTAGTGTTAAATTAAAATTGGTACATTATTCCAGTGCATCTACGTACAGAGCACCACTAGCCCCCGTGGCGTAGCATTAGTGTTAAATTAAAATTGCTACATTATTCCAGTGCATCTACGTACAGAGCACCACTAGCCCCCGTGGCGTAGAGTTAGTGTTAAACTAAAATTGCTATATAATTCCAGTGCATCTACGTACAGAGCACCACTAGCCCCCGTGGCGTAGAGTTAGTGTTAAATTAAAATTGCTACATTATTTCAGTGCATCTACGTACAGAGCACCACTAGCCCCCGTGGCGTAGAGTTAGTGTTAAACTAAAATTGCTATATAATTCCAGTGCATCTACGTACAGAGCACCACTAGCCCCCGTGGCGTAGAGTTAGTGTTAAATTAAAATTGCTACATTATTTCAGTGCATCTACGTACAGAGCACCACTAGCCCCCGTGGCGTAGAGTTAGTGTTAAACTAAAATTGCTATATAATTCCAGTGCATCTACGTACAGAGCACCACTAGCCCCCGTGGCGTAGAGTTAGTGTTAAATTAAAATTGCTACATTATTTCAGTGCATCTACGTACAGAGCACCACTAGCCCCCGTGGCGTAGAGTTAGTGTTAAACTAAAATTGCTATATAATTCCAGTGCATCTACGTACAGAGCACCACTAGCCCCCGTGGCGTAGAGTTAGTGTTAAATTAAAATTGCTACATTATTCCAGTGCATCTACGTACAGAGCACCACTAGCCCCCGTGGCGTAGAGTTAGTGTTAAACTAAAATTGCTATATAATTCCAGTGCATCTACGTACAGAGCACCACTAGCCCCCGTGGCGTAGAGTTAGTGTTAAATTAAAATTGCTACATTATTTCAGTGCATCTACGTACAGAGCACCACTAGCCCCCGTGGCGTAGAGTTAGTGTTAAATTAAAATTGCTACATTATTTCAGTGCATCTACGTACAGAGCACCACTAGCCCCCGTGGCGTAGCATTAGTGTTAAATTAAAATTGCTACATTATTCCAGTGCATCTACGTACAGAGCACCACTAGCCCCCGTGGCGTAGCATTAGTGTTAAATTAAAATTGGTACATTATTCCAGTGCATCTACGTACAGAGCACCACTAGCCCCAGTGGCGTAGCATTAGTGTTAAATTAAAATTGGTACATTATTCCAGTGCATCTACGTACAGAGCACCACTAGCCCCCGTGGCGTAGAGTTAGTGTTAAATTAAAATTGCTACATTATTTCAGTGCATCTACGTACAGAGCACCACTAGCCCCCGTGGCGTAGAGTTAGTGTTAAACTAAAATTGCTATATAATTCCAGTGCATCTACGTACAGAGCACCACTAGCCCCCGTGGCGTAGAGTTAGTGTTAAATTAAAATTGCTACATTATTTCAGTGCATCTACGTACAGAGCACCACTAGCCCCCGTGGCGTAGAGTTAGTGTTAAATTAAAATTGCTACATTATTTCAGTGCATCTACGTACAGAGCACCACTAGCCCCCGTGGCGTAGCATTAGTGTTAAATTAAAATTGCTACATTATTTCAGTGCATCTACGTACAGAGCACCACTGGCCCCCGTGGCGTAGCATTAGTGTTAAATTAAAATTGGTACATTATTCCAGTGCATCTACGTACAGAGCACCACTAGCCCCCGTGGCGTAGAGTTAGTGTTAAATTAAAATTGCTACATTATTTCAGTGCATCTACGTACAGAGCACCACTAGCCCCCGTGGCGTAGAGTTAGTGTTAAACTAAAATTGCTATATAATTCCAGTGCATCTACGTACAGAGCACCACTAGCCCCCGTGGCGTAGCATTAGTGTTAAATTAAAATTGCTACATTATTCCAGTGCATCTACGTACAGAGCACCACTAGCCCCCGTTGCGTAGCATTAGTGTTAAATTAAAATTGCTACATTATTCCAGTGCATCTACGTACAGAGCACCACTGGCCCCCGTGGCGTAGCATTAGTGTTAAATTAAAATTGGTACATTATTCCAGTGCATCTACGTACAGAGCACCACTAGCCCCCGTGGCGTAGCATTAGTGTTAAATTAAAATTGGTACATTATTCCAGTGCATCTACGTACAGAGCACCACTAGCCCCCGTGGCGTAGCATTAGTGTTAAATTAAAATTGCTACATTATTCCAGTGCATCTACGTACAGAGCACCACTAGCCCCCGTGGCGTAGAGTTACAGCCTTACTAATAAAGATTTACACACGACGTATACTAGAGTTATAACGCAAACATTACCAATAAACGACATTTGACAGTTCAGTTGTATACATCTGTTATAACGAGTGTTTAAATTGTATGGAAACTTACACAACCGTTATACAGTTCTCAACCTTTGTTTAAGACGTGTATAACCTCAATTTGGCGTGTGGCGTTTTTGAAAATAATGGATTATTTACAATATTTCGATATTTTTGATGAAATAGACCGTGAGGAACCACCAAGAAAAAGAAAATTTTACAAAAAACGTTTCGATCCCTTTACTCTAGAAGAAAAAGATTTTCGAATGAAATATAGATTCAGTAAAGTATATATGAGAAAAATAGTTAAGTTAGTTCAGCGTGATATCGAACTACAAGCTAGTGGTGGCGGGCTGTCTGTAGAACTTCAAGTTTGTACTGCTCTCAGAACGTGGGCTAGGCAAGAAGTGCAAGATGATGCAGCAGACATTCATGGGCTTAGCCAACAGTCCATCACGAATATATGCCGAAGAGTAGCTCTTGCTTTGGCAAGTAAAGCGGCACAATTTATACGCATGCCTAGTACTTTAGAAGAACAAGAACAAGTGGTTTCTGGATTTAGAAACATTTGTGGCTTTAAGCAAGTGATTGGTGCTATCGATTGCACGCACATAAAGATTAAAAAAGTTGGAGGCGATAGTGCTCAATATTATATAAACAGAAAGGGATTTTCATCCTTAAATGTCCAGGTAGTTTGTGATGCTCAATTAAAGATAAGGGATATAGTGGCACACTGGAGGGGCAGCACACATGATGCAAGAATATTCAGGGAAAGTCAAATTCGACAACGATTTGAAAATGGGGAATTTCATGGTCGTTTACTAGGAGATTCTGGCTACGGTTTGACAAATTACTTGTTTACACCAGTCCAGAATCCCCGTACTGCTAAAGAGAAATCTTATAATAAATCACATATTTTGACCAGAAATACAATTGAAAGGTGTTTCGGAGTTTGGAAACAGAGGTTCCGATGTCTATTACTTGGGTTTAGTGTGTCACTGGAAAATGTAAAATTATACATTGTTGCACTTGCGATATTACACAATATTGCCATTGAAATGAATGAAGGCATTGACTTCCTTGAACCAGTCATATCTGAAGATAATGGTGACCAACAAGTGCTAAGGGAAGGTCTTGATAGCCGATCTGGTCAAGAAACAAGGAGATTATTCATTGAAACACAATTTTAGTAACGAAAATGCTTTATTGTGGTAAATTTGTTTTTAAAAGTAATATTTCTAATTTTAGTTTTTCAACTCGAAGCTGTGTTTCTTCTTTTTCCAATAACATTTGTTGTATTTTTAAATTGTGTTCCTCTTTAATAAAATTATGAGCTTCTAACATATTTTTCATTTTTAAACCATGTTCCTCCTTTATGCAACTGACAAGAATATGATTGCGCTCTCTGGTTAAGTCTCTTTCCTGAAATAAATATATTATTATCAATCAAAAATTACTAATCCCATTATTTTGTTATACTTGGTAGAGCCATGCTGTAGCTATATTAGTAGTATAGTTGTAGCACGAATGGGTCGACTCGACCGGGGAAGGACCACGCTCTTGCAGAATACCATCATAAAATAGTGGCTTAACGCTGCTGTGTTTCGTATGGTGAGTGTAGAAAACCGCAGACCCTTTTTACTGGAAATGAGGCATTCCATCTTAGTCCCGGGTGACAATGCATCTGCATTTTGATTTGTAATAGAGGATAGATGTAGATGTGTATGGGCCACAGCAACCACTTACCATCAGGTGGACCGTGTGCTCGTTTGTCACCCTATCCTATAAAAAAACTTAAATTAAACATTTTATTAAAATAAAATATCATTTTATTTTACCTCACGTTTGGCTGTATATTTATTATCATTCACATCATTGAATGTTAGTTTCCGTTTTCTTCTAACTATTTCAGTTGGCATCTTTAAAGGTAGTGGTGTAATATTCTAAAATATTAACAAGTCATTCAGAATTCAAAAGATATTAATCTAGGTAAATTTACTCAACAAATTTAAATAAACAAACCTCTTGCACATTCTCATTATTATCTCCTGGAGTGATAAAATAATCTTGTGTTGGTGTATTCACCAAGGACTGCTCCTGACTTTGAACCACTGGATTCTGAAATAGAATATCACACATTGATATCATAATCATAAGACATAACATACTAATTCTGATACTTAACATTGTGTTAGTGCTAAGACAATTATAAAAATATAGTATGAGCTCACTGTTATGCTGTCACTGTCGAAGACATTGGAATCAGTCTCAAATTCCTGTGGAATCATGCTCAAAATGTCAATGGTTTCCGGGTCAGGGCTAAGAGGTTTTGGCCCTCCACCAGTACATTTGATAGATGTCTTTACTTGCGACATGTTTTTCTTTGCATCAAGTTTCATAGTGCGCCACTGTTGCTTCACTTCAGCTAATTCTCTTACCCGGCTATTCAATTCACTAAAACTGAAAATGTCTCAATCATAATTTGCACACAAGAAACGTGAAACAAAATTTATAAAACATGGTATTTTACAAACCTTTTCATCACTTTTTGCCAAGCAATGGTCTTACTTTTGTTTGTATTTGTATCGGTGTTTTTATTTTCTATGATGGATACAAATTCCTTCATACAACTTTTTAATAAACTCTGAAAGATAATATACAAAGTTTGATTACAAATTGTGACCATATTGGGAAACAGGAGTTGCAAATGTTTTTCTAGTAAAATTCAGTCTTACCTTTTCTAATGCATCCCAATTGGCAGACCGTTTTCTTTTGATAAAGTTTCCATTACTATTAGCCATTATTACACAATTACAGCGATGTTATTAAAAATATAGTAGCTTCTAACGAATTATAAATTAAAAAATACAAACAACAAATTGATGATTGAATTGCAAACTGTCTGAATCTGAATCTGAAAGGTACGCCGTACGTTCATAAACTTATTAGGATTATAAATATGGCTTTGTCCAAATAATAATTAGTTTTTATCGCATATAAACATTAGATTATTACTAAATTAAATTTAACAATATTTTGGGCTAAATGTATGTGTTAATAATTAAAAAAAGAGAATTTATAAGCTGTTTATGTGTATTCAAAATGTTTCTATAACTTGACAATTTAGTTTCAAAACGTTTTTGATGAACGTTGCCAATGGTTTTTGTTTTAGTGAGTGTATAACTATACAACGCTTATACATCTGTTATTAGTAAAGAGCGTGTGTAACTCTTACCCATAGCTTAAACAGTGTATAAGTACACAGTTGTTAAACAGATGTTTTAAATATTTTTATTAGTAAGACTGTTAGTGTTAAACTAAAATTGCTATATAATTCCAGTGCATCTACGTACAGAGCACCACTAGCCCCCGTGGCGTAGAGTTAGTGTTAAATTAAAATTGCTACATTATTCCAGTGCATCTACGTACAGAGCACCACTAGCCCCCGTGGTGTAGAGTTAGTGTTAATCTAAAATTGCTATATAATTCCAGTGCATCTACGTACAGAGCACCACTAGCCCCCGTGGCGTAGAGTTAGTGTTAAATTAAAATTGCTACATTATTTCAGTGCATCTACGTACAGAGCACCACTAGCCCCCGTGGCGTAGAGTTAGTGTTAAATTAAAATTGCTACATTATTTCAGTGCATCTACGTACAGAGCACCACTAGCCCCCGTGGCGTAGCATTAGTGTTAAATTAAAATTGCTACATTATTCCAGTGCATCTACGTACAGAGCACCACTAGCCCCCGTGGCGTAGCATTAGTGTTAAATTAAAATTGGTACATTATTCCAGTGCATCTACGTACAGAGCACCACTAACCCCAGTGGCGTAGCATTAGTGTTAAATTAAAATTGGTACATTATTCCAGTGCATCTACGTACAGAGCACCACTAGCCCCCGTGGCGTAGAGTTAGTGTTAAATTAAAATTGCTACATTATTTCAGTGCATCTACGTACAGAGCACCACTAGCCCCCGTGGCGTAGAGTTAGTGTTAAACTAAAATTGCTATATAATTCCAGTGCATCTACGTACAGAGCACCACTAGCCCCCGTGGCGTAGAGTTAGTGTTAAATTAAAATTGCTACATTATTTCAGTGCATCTACGTACAGAGCACCACTAGCCCCCGTGGCGTAGAGTTAGTGTTAAATTAAAATTGCTACATTATTTCAGTGCATCTACGTACAGAGCACCACTAGCCCCCGTGGCGTAGCATTAGTGTTAAATTAAAATTGCTACATTATTCCAGTGCATCTACGTACAGAGCACCACTGGCCCCCGTGGCGTAGCATTAGTGTTAAATTAAAATTGGTACATTATTCCATCTAATGAAGGTCTCGTCTAATGAAGTCAACGCTCCGTCCCCCTCGTGCTCTAATCCAAAGTCCCGAAACCTTTCAGCTCGAGTTGCAAAACCGTTTTCAGTGCCTAGAAGACTGCAATGAAGTGGACGATTTGAATGACAAGCTCGTGGAAACTGTCCATGCGGTCGGAGCTAAGTTCTGCAAGACCCGCCGCAGAAGAACACAAAAACTCTCCGATCACACTCTTAATCTCATGGCTGTTAGACGGGAGATGAAGCTGCATTCTTCAACAGATTTGACAGCATACAGGCAACTGAACAGACAGATCTCCAAATGCATGCGGCGGGACTTACGCAACTTCAATACAGCTCGTATTGAAGAAGCGATCGAGCGGAACCAAGGCTCCAAAGTCTTTGCCAAAGATCTGTCTGCCAGAAAGAGCCAACTGTCAAAGCTGAAGACCGAATGTGGCAGCATCGTTTCCGGGGCACCTGAGATTTTGAGTGAGATTGAGAGGTTCTATGGGCAGCTGTACACGTCATCGTTGGAGCCACACGCAAGTGTGAGTAACGATCCAAGAGCGAGTCTTATCCCACATTATTCCGATGATATCCCGCACGTCAGTCTGAGCGAGATTAGAATGGCTCTCCAGCACCTTAAAAACGGCAAGGCCCCAGGCCAGGATGGAATTACAGCGGAGCTTCTGAAAGCGGGTGGAAAACCGGTACTTGAAGTCCTTCAGAAGCTCTTTAATTCCGTCCTCCATGGTGGCATTACACCGGAGGCGTGGAGCAGAAGTGCGGTGGTCTTGTTCTTCAAGAAAGGCGACAACGCTCTCTTGAAGAACTACAGACCGATTTCCCTTCTGAGCCGCGTCTACGTGCTGTTTTCGAGAGTCATTACGAATCGTCTCGCGCGCAGACTTGACGACTTCCAGCCTCCCGAACAAGCCGGTTTCCGAAAAGGCTTTAGCACCATAGACCACATACATACCCTTCGGCAAATTGTACAGAAGTCCGAGGAGTACAATTTGCCACTATGTCTGGCGTATGTGGACTATGAGAAAGCCTTTGATTCCGTCGAAATTTGGGCGGTGCTGCAGTCCCTTCAGCGATGCCAAGTTGACTGTCGGTATATCGAAGTGTTGAAGTGCTTGTACAGTAGGGCTACGATGGCTATCCGAGTACAGAACCAGAGTACGAAACCTATCCAATTGCAGAGAGGTGTAAGACAGGGTGACGTCATATCCCCGAAACTCTTCACCGCTGCATTGGAAGACGTTTTCAAGCTTCTGGACTGGAAAGGATACGGTATCAACATCAATGGCGAGTACATCACTCACCTTCGATTTGCCGACGATATAGTCCTTATGGCAGAATCGCTGGAGGACCTAAGCACTATGCTCAATGACCTCAATAGTGTTTCCCAACGGATAGGTCTTAAGATGAACATGGACAAAACAAAGATCATGTTTAATGTCCATGTCACACCTATGCCGGTAGTTGTTGGGAACACTAAGCTCGAAGTTGTTGACGAGTATGTTTACCTGGGACAAATATTCCGACTAGGTAAGTCCAACTTCGACCGAGAGGTCAATCGACGGATTCAACTCGGTTGGGCAGCGTTCGGGAAATTACGGCACATCTTCTCGTCAGGTATACCTCAAAACTTGAAAACGAGACTGTACACCCAGTGCGTGTTGCCAGTGATGACATACGGAACTGAGACGTGGTCCTTCACTGCTGGCCGGATGAGGAAGCTCAAGGTCGCTCAGCGAGCTATGGAGAGGGCTATGCTCGGAGTTTCTCTGCGTGATAAACTCAGAAATGAGGATATCCGCAGTAGAACCAGAGTGACCGACATAGCCCAACGGATTAGTAAGCTGAAGTGGCAATGGGCCGGCCATATGGCTCGAAGAACCGACAACCGATGGGGAAGAAAGGTTCTCGAGTGGCAGCCTCGTACCGGCAGGCGAAGTGTAGGGCGTCCCCCCACTAGATGGAGTGACGACCTGGTAAGATTTGCAGGAAGTCGATGGATGCAGGTGGCTCAGGACCGTGCTTTGTGGCATTCTTTGGGGGAGGCCTATGTTCAGCAGTGGACTTGTGTAGGGCTGTAATGATGATGATGATGATGACATTATTCCAGTGCATCTACGTACAGAGCACCACTAGCCCCCGTGGCGTAGAGTTAGTGTTAAATTAAAATTGCTACATTATTTCAGTGCATCTACGTACAGAGCACCACTAGCCCCCGTGGCGTAGAGTTAGTGTTAAACTAAAATTGCTATATAATTCCAGTGCATCTACGTACAGAGCACCACTAGCCCCCGTGGCGTAGAGTTAGTGTTAAATTAATATTGCTACATTATTTCAGTGCATCTACGTACAGAGCACCACTAGCCCCCGTGGCGTAGAGTTAGTGTTAAATTAAAATTGCTACATTATTTCAGTGCATCTACGTAAAGAGCACCACTAGCCCCCGTGGCGTAGCATTAGTGTTAAATTAAAATTGCTATATTATTCCAGTGCATCTACGTACAGAGCACCACTAGCCCCCGTGGCGTAGCATTAGTGTTAAATTAAAATTGCTACATTATTCCAGTGCATCTACGTACAGAGCACCACTAGCCCCCGTGGCGTAGCATTAGTGTTAAATTAAAATTGCTACATTATTCCAGTGCATCTACGTACAGAGCACCACTAGCCCCCATGGCGTAGAGTTAGTGTTAAACTAAAATTGCTATATAATTCCAGTGCATCTACGTACAGAGCACCACTAGCCCCCGTGGCGTAGAGTTAGTGTTAAATTAAAATTGCTACATTATTTCAGTGCATCTACGTACAGAGCACCACTAGCCCCCGTGGCGTAGCATTAGTGTTAAATTAAAATTGCTACATTATTCCAGTGCATCTACGTACAGAGCACCACTAGCCCCCCGTGGCGTAGAGTTAGTGTTAAACTAAAATTGCTATATAATTCCAGTGCATCTACGTACAGAGCAGCACTAGCCCCCGTGGCGTAGAGTTAGTGTTAAATTAAAATTGCTACATTATTTCAGTGCATCTACGTACAGAGCACCACTAGCCCCTGTGGCGTAGAGTTAGTGTTAAATTAAAATTGCTACATTATTTCAGTGCATCTACGTACAGAGCACCACTAGCCCCCGTGGCGTAGCATTAGTGTTAAATTAAAATTGCTACATTATTCCAGTGCATCTACGTACAGAGCACCACTAGCCCCCGTGGCGTAGCATTAGTGTTAAATTAAAATTGGTACATTATTCCAGTGCATCTACGTACAGAGCACCACTAGCCCCCGTGGCGTAGAGTTAGTGTTAAATTAAAATTGCTACATTATTTCAGTGCATCTACGTACAGAGCACCACTAGCCCCTGTGGCGTAGAGTTAGTGTTAAATTAAAATTGCTACATTATTTCAGTGCATCTACGTACAGAGCACCACTAGCCCCCGTGGCGTAGCATTAGTGTTAAATTAAAATTGCTACATTATTCCAGTGCATCTACGTACAGAGCACCACTAGCCCCCGTGGCGTAGCATTAGTGTTAAATTAAAATTGGTACATTATTCCAGTGCATCTACGTACAGAGCACCACTAGCCCCCGTGGCGTAGAGTTAGTGTTAAATTAAAATTGCTACATTATTTCAGTGCATCTACGTACAGAGCACCACTAGCCCCTGTGGCGTAGAGTTAGTGTTAAATTAAAATTGCTACATTATTTCAGTGCATCTACGTACAGAGCACCACTAGCCCCAGTGGCGTAGCATTAGTGTTAAATTAAAATTGGTACATTATTCCAGTGCATCTACGTACAGAGCACCACTAGCCCCCGTGGCGTAGAGTTAGTGTTAAATTAAAATTGGTACAT